GCACGCCCACCACGTCCAAGGAGAAACCCTCTCCCTCTCCCACTGCAGCCTCTTTCCATCCACTGAGGGCCATGCTGTCTACCAGGGCCAAAGCTGGACCCGGCTCCCCACCTCCCTACCCCCCTCCTGTCCATTCCGTCTCCTGACGGGTTTCCCTGCAGCCCCCGCTGTGCCTCTGGTCTGCTTGTGGGCCCCCAGGTGCGCTCCATGCAGCAGCCAGGCTGAGCCCTCACAGATGACACCATCAGAGCCTGCCAGCCCTTGCTTTCCACCCTGGGAAGTCTCCCTTTCCGTGATGGTGGTCACCACGTCCTCGAGCCTTCCCTGCCACCCTGGTGGTATGTTCCTCCTGCTGCCCATGAGCCAGGGGCCCTGGACAGCGGCATCCACCCACCACCTGGCAGAACCATGTCCATGCGAGTGCCTGACGCTTGAGGCTGCTTCCTCTGCAGGTCTGGGACTCCCAGAAAGCTCGCCACCATCCCCTCCTCGCTGATGCCCAGAAGTCTGTGACCATGTACAGGCAGTAATGTCCCTGTTTCACAGCAGAACAAGCCTGGAAGGGACTAGCCTGTGGTCCCTTGGACAGTGCGTGGGGTCCCACATCACTAAAAGTCCTCTGATAAGGGTCCCGCCCTTTGTCTGCCACGCCCAGCACCTCCACCCTGGCATGAACTTAGCCTCCCAGGGTCCCTCCACCTTCTCTATTCTGTCATCCTAATTGCACCAGAGGAGCTGGGCCCTGAGGAGTCACTTCCGCTCCCACCAAGAACAGTAATATCAGAATGGAAGGAGTCTTGCTCTGCCTTGGGATACAGCACTGCACCCTGATCTGCCTGGGCCTGCTCGCTCTCCCCCCTCTGACCACTACCTTCTCTTTGCACCGTGCAGCTTTCCCATGTGCCATCAGACTCAGGGGACACCGGAAAGTTAAGCAGGGGAGTAGCGTGTCCCTGGGGAATGCAGGGCTGGGTGACGAAGAGGAGACACCTCCTGGGCTTGGGCGACACTATTCTCTCATCACCTCAGCACCCTCCACCCCACTGGTGAACCGCTGGGCTGACGAAGACTGTCGTGAAGGGGAGACGGGGACGCACAGCCACATCTGTAGGCCTGTCTTCCAGCGCCTCCACTGGGGTGGGGTTTCAGGGGGCCATGCTGGGACCCTTGGTGTCTCCCGCATGTAGGCCCAGTGGTGCCTCTGCGTCTCTTCTTTCTGCTAACAGCCCCCTGCCCACGCACTTCCCAGGCCCTGTGGAGACTTGAGGGCCTGGAGTTTGTCTTGTGTTTTCAAGGCATAAAAATGGGCCAGTGTGTGGAGTTCAACGGGACCCACAGGACCTGTGAGATCCGGGGCTGGTGCCCCATGGAGAGTGACACTGTGCCCATGTAAGTGTCACCAACACCCAGGGCAGGTCCCAGGACCAGCAGAGCCTGCCCCTGACCTCCCCCACCTGCGGGAAGCCCCTGCTGCTCCAGGCTGAGAACTTCATGCTGTTCATCAAAACACTGTCACCTTCAGCAAGTTCAACTTCTCCAGGTCAGCATGGTGGGTCCTGGCTGCCCCAGATCCTTCTTGTCCCCTGACTGGCCTGACCCCCTCGCCCCACCCCCTCTCAGGCCCAATGCCTTGGAGACCTGGGATGCCACCTATTTCAAGTGCTGCCATTGTGGCCTACACTTCAGCCCCTACTGCCCCGTGTTCTGCATCAGGGACCTCGTGCCCGCTGCTGGAGGGGTCTCAGAGGACCTAGCATTGCTGGTGGCTCCGTGGCGGACAGGGTCTGGAGAGAGAGTCCGTGCTGTACGGGATCCGCTTCAACATCCTCATCACTGGGCGGGTAGGGGCCAGGCTAGGGTGGGTGGGGATAGGCAGGGGTGAGGGGTGGGATGGGGCAATAGCCACAGCCAGAGAGGCTCAGCCCAGGTCTCCCTCAGGCAGGGAAGCTCGGGCTCATCCCCTCAAGCCTCACTCTGGGCACTGGAGCAGCTTGGCTGGGTGTGGTGAGTCTGGCCAACGTGGCTCCCTCTGGCTGCCGGCAAGCGTGTGCCTCCGGAGTGCACACCCGGGCCCCTGTGATGACGTTTAGTCTCGGGGTGAGAGCTGGGGAGGCAGCAGAATGGCAGGTTGGGGGCCAGGACATGGGTCTGCCTTGCCTCTCGCAAATCCCCTTCTCCTGTGACCTGCTGCTGTTGTACGTGGTTGGGGAAGACCATCTCTCCTGGAGGACCAAGTCTGAGGAGGGGAGCTGCGGGCCTGGCTGGACCCTGGACCACACTTTGGAGGATGGTGGCTGGAGCCCCGGCCTGCTGTCCTCATCTGCAGGCAAAGGCCCCGAAAGGCACTGCCAACCCTGAGCAGACAGAGCCGGCTTCCCCACCCCCACATCCGGCTGCCCAGGTGCCTTAGAGGGGGCCCAGCACCTGCCCCCACTGCTGCTGCTGGGAGCTGGACACTGTCACCAGGGTGGCCCTGGCACCCAATTGCTCGCCCATTCCTGAGGTCTGTGGCCTTTGTCTGCTGGTGTGGGGTTGGGGGTTGGGAAGGGTGGGGGCGCAACCTTGGGAACCATGGATGAAGCCCTAGCAGAACCAGGGCAGGGGGTGGGGGGAGAACTCCTCCCTTCAGCTCCCAGGCAGACTCTCCCTACCCCAACTCCAGCTAGGGTGCTTCTTGGGACCACCGCAGCCAGTTTTGTATAGGGACCTGCAGGGGAACACGATACAGGGCGCTGGTCCAGTGGGGCTCCTGCCGGGGTGCATCTGGAGAACACTTTCCCAGTCTGTCTCCAGTGTTCCCAGCAGCTCCCCGCTCACCAGCTGTCCCCACATTGGTTGTGGTCAACTCTGGCCCTGCCTGGCTCTCAGCGCTCCTCCCCCTGCCAGCACGCCCCTCCCCTCTCAGCAGCCCTGCCCTGGGGTCTGTGCAGCCAGAGTCCAAGGAAAGGGAGAAAGGAGCCTGACAGGAGAAGTCGTCTCAGCTGCTCTGGGGCTGGGTTCCTAGGGCAGGTTCCCTCCCAGCTCTGGACCTCATCCATGGAGTAAGGAGTATGTTGGGCAGATGATCTCATGCCTTAGGACCCCAGGCAAGGACACAGGCACCTCTTGGGTGCAAACCTGCTCAGCTTGTGAGAACCAGCCCCTTCCTGGTAGCAGCCCACTGGCTGTGGAGGGCTGGGATGGGGGAGGTTGGAGGGGCTGAGTTGGTGGGTACATGGTCCTTTGGGACCTGCTATATGTCTCCTTGGAGACCCACCAGCCCAAAGCCGTAGGACCTGCTCACCGGCCTTCCTGGGAGCCATGGGGTGGGGAGGCTGTATATCTGGACACATATGTCACTGCTGCCCAAGGTCACACCTGAGATCGTGTCTGGGCAGCTGCCCACCCCAGCCTGAGGCAACTGCACAAGGACCACACTCTGACCAAGATCTCAAGTGGAGCCCAAGGGGTGGAAAGAATGTCCCTAACAGAGGACACGGAAGCACCCAGCGGGCTGGCCTGGTTCTGGCTCTGGAATACCCCCAGGGGCCTGAGTCCCGCCTGCTGAAGAATGTCCCCATGCCCCTGAGCCCATGGTCTGGAGGAGAGGCATGGGGGCTGCTGAAGCCAAGCTCTCTCTTGGTTCCAGGGAGGGGCAGGGATTTGGGGGTACCCACCCCAGGGAGACAAGGGGCTGCCTTCTTATGGGTCCCTGGTGACCAGGGGCATGCTGGCAGCTAGCTGGTAGAGCGACATGGGCCAGGTTGGGGAGGGCCAGGGCTGGGGCTCACGCTGGGCAGCATCTGGAATCATCTGGCACCTGGAGCCTCAGCAAAGCCTTGGGGTCCCTCCTCCTCTCTGTCCCCAGAGCCATATCCATGGGAGGCAGGTTCAGAAGGGCCAGGGTGAGAGAACATGGCCCTGAGCCTGCTTATTGGAGTGGGGTCACAGGTACCTGGTCGTCCTTGGGGCCCAGAGAAAGCTGAGGTCAAGGCTGCAGAGAGCCGAGGAGTAAAGCTGCCAGAGCCAGCAGCTTCCTGTGTGGTCCTTACAGGCAGGAACGGGGAGGTGGGGGTGTCTATGGCAGATGTAGCGTGGCCTTGGGGAGACCAGTGGGGGTGCAGGGTGGGCCTGGGGACCCCCAAAGACTGGGAACTCACAGCCACCAGGTGGGCTAGAAAGTACCTGGAGCAGGCCCAGGTGCTTGTGCCCCCACCTGCAGGCGTGGGTCCCATCCCGGACCTTCATCTCAAA